GAAAGAGAATTCACTTCCCAGGGTAGATGTCCACAGAGTAGCCCCTTCTCTTCCATTCTTCTCTCAGGATTTTGAGTATGAATGTACATGTGCCCGGCATGATTTTCAAGCCTCCAGGTCCAAGGCTCACATCATGGTTGGCCATGTGATAGTCCAGTACCTTAACCATGATGCCACCTGCTGGCCCCATCCTTTTTTTATTTTTTGAGAGCTTTTTGCCTTAGGGCACACACGCTCATGGGAGAGAGACAGAGGTGAGAAACACCCCCCCAGGGGCGATGTCCATGCCCCAATACCTTCTCCATTCTCCTTTTGGGATCTTGGGCACGCATGCACGCATATGCACCCAGTGTGAGTTTGGCCACTGGGTCCAAGACTTGAACCATGGTCAGCCATGTGGGAGTCCAGCAATGTAACTGCTATGCCACCTACTGGTCCCTTTTTTTTTCTTGTTTTGGTTTGCTATAGGGTGCACGTGCTTGCTAGAAATAGAGAGGGAAAGTGAGAAATTAACCCCCCCAAGAGGGATAGCTATACCATAGTTCTTTCTTCATTCTTTTCTTGGGATTTTGTGCACACACATGTGCCTGACATGTTTTCCAAGCTACTGGGTCTGGGACTCGAACCACACAGTCATGTGGGATCCAGCTGCCCTAACCTCTAAGGCACCTGCTGACCCTAAATATGGCTCTTTTATATAGCATGAATTCTTTTAAATTATAATTTTATAGCCTCAATTTAGATGGAGCATCAGACTTTACATTTAATAAGATAACTTTGGGTTTGGGGCCGGCAGGTGGCGTGGTGGTTAAGGGTGCTGGACTCCCATATAGTCAGTCGTAGTTCAAGTCCCAGACCTCGTAGCTTTCTTTCTCACTTTCCCTCTCTTTTTCTCTTTCTGTCCCTCTCTGGTCAAATTAAAATAAATAAAGTTCAGGAACCAGCAGTTGGCGTAATGGCTATGTCACTGGACTCCCACTTAGTCGACTGCAGTTCGCGGCTTAAAACTCAAGCCGGGCGCGTGTGTGTGCGTGCCCAAGATCCAGAGAGGAGAATGGAAGAGAAGGGATTGCGGCATGACCATCCCCCCTGGGGGGTGATTTCTCACTTTCTGTCTCTATGTCTCTCTCTGTCTGTCTGGGGAGCACATGTGCCCTATAGCAAAAACCTAAAAAAATAAATAAATAAAATAAAGTTCAATAAAATAATTCTTTTTCTTTTTTGGAGAGGTTTTTGCTATAGGGCACATGTGCTCCTCACCAGAAAGACAGAGACAGAAAGCAAGAAATCACTCCCCAGGGGGTAGTCCACGCTGCAACCCCTTCTCCTCCATTCTCTAGGGATCTTGGGCATGCACACACATGCACCCAGCGTGAGTTTAAGCCACTGGGTCTGGGATTCAAACCACAGTCGACTACATGGGAGTCCAGCAACATAGCCATCACACCAACTGCTGGTCCTGATAAAATAATTCTTAAAAAAAAAAAAAAAAAAGACAACTTTGGGTTTAACTATACCATCTTACTAGTTGCTTTCTACTAATCTTACCTGTTCTGTTTATTTTCCCCCCTCTCCATTGCCTTTTTGTGAAATTTTTAAAATTGAACTTTTTTGTTCACATAGGGCACTTGTACACACACAAGAGACAGACAGGGAGGGAGAGGGGCACAACCTCCATGGGGTCTGGTCTTGTGCAATTCCCTTCCTCCAGGCCTCTAGTGTGTTAGATCTGGTCAGTCACACGCATGCCTGATAAATTTTGGGCAGCCTGGTTCGGGGTTGTGACCAACTGTGGTCACCATGTAGGATTTGTTTTCTTTTTTTTTTTTTTTTAAGATTTATTTATTTATGTATCTAATGTATGTATTTAATTCCACTTGTTATTATTTAATTTGACCAGAGATACAGAGAGAAAGAGAAAGTGAGAAGCATGCCACCAGGTCTGGGACTCGAATCGTGGTCATCCATGTGGGAATCCAGCGCCTTTAACCATCACACTACCTGCCAGCCCCTTGTTTATTCTCTATTTGGCACACGCACTCACTGGAGAGACACAAAAAGTGAGAAAGTGTCCCTGGGGGATGGCCACATTATAGTCCCTTCTCCATTTTCCTCTTGGGATTTTGGGGATGCGTGCACATGCACCCAGTATATTTTTGTTTTTAATTTAAATAATTGTTTAATTTTATTTATTCATTCATTTATTTTAATTTGACCAGAGAGAGACAGAACGAGAGAGAGAGATAATGAGAAAGTAAGCCAGGTCCAGGACTCAAACCATGGTCAGCCATGTGGGAGCATCCAGCACCTTAACTACCACGCTACCTGCTGGTCCCTAAGCCCAGTATGTTTTCCAAGCTGCAGGATCTAGGACTTGAACTGTGCAGTTGATCATGTAGGATCTAGCAACCTTAAACACCACGTGACCAGCTGAACCAGGATTTGGTGGCTTTTGAGCAGGACATTATTACTGCACCTGGAATAAGCTCTAGTTCATTAATCCTTTTTGGTTACATGAATTATTTTCATGGGTATGTGTTTGTGTATGTATGTATGTATTTTAAGATAGGGTCTGCCTGTGTTGTGATCAGCCCAGCCTAGCCTCCAGAGTAGCTGGGACCACCCATGGGTGCCACTACATCCAGCTTTTTAGGGTGGGCTGGTAGTTGGACAAAGGCCTCCCATGTGGCCTCAGCCTACCAACCAGCAGGGCCCAGTGTGTGTGCTACCACAGCTGGGTCTTTTTCGGTCAACTTCTTTTTTTTTTTTAATTTTTAAATTATTATTTATTTCATTTTATTTATTCATTCATTTATTTTAATTTGACCAGAGAGAGACAGAGAGAGAGAGAGAGAGAGAGAGAGAGGGAAAAAGGAAGCCGCCAGATCTGGGACTCGAACCATGGTTGACCATGTGGGAGTGTCCAGCACCTTAACCATCACACCACCTGCTGGTCCCCTCGGTCAACTTCTTTTTAATTTTCTATAGGGTGTATGCCCTCACCAGAGTGTGAGAGAAAGCAAGGGAGATGGTCATGTCACAGTCCCTTTTCCATTTCTTCTCTTGGGATTTTAGGCTTACATATGCATTCACCCAATATGCTTTTCAAGCTCCCAGGTCTGGGAATCAAACTGAGCAGGGAGATATATGGGATGCAGCTGTCTTAATCACCATGCTACCTGCTGGCCCTTCCCAACATTTTTTTTAAGACCAACATTATTTTTTTTAAAGGATTAGAATATTTTAATTAATTTTTTAGAGTTATTTTAATTTAATTTATTTATTCATTTATTTAAATTTGAATAGAGAGGGACAGAGCAAGAGAGAGAGAGAGAGATGGGGGGGTGGTAGTGAGAAAGCTAGCCTCCAGGTCCTGGACTTGAACCATGATTGGCCATGTGGGAGACCAATGCCCTTAACCATGCCACCTGCCGGCCCCCATTTTTTTTAAAGAACTTTTTGCCATAGGGTGGGTGTACTCACCAGAGAGGCAGAGAAACTGAACGTGAGAAATCACCCCACAGGAGGGATGGTCAAGCTGTCAATCTGTCCATTCTCTTGGAATTTTGGGCATGAACATACATATGCCCAGAGTGCACTTTAAGCTGTTGGGTCTTGGGCTTGAACTGCAGTCAGCCTTGTGGGAGTCCATGCCTTAACCACCATGCCACCCGCTGGCCCTCCTTACCAACATTCTTTTTTTGTTTCTAGAGGTTTTTGCTATAGGGCGCGTGCGCTCATCAGGAAGAGAGACAGACAGAGAGATAGGAAGCGAGAAATCACCCCCCAGGAGGGATGGCCACACTGCAGTACCTTCTCCATTCTCTCTGGATCTTGGGCACGCACGTACATGCGCCCGGCATGAGTTTAAGCCACCAGGTCCAGGTCTCGAACCGCGGTTGACTACATGGGAGTCCAGCAACATAGCCATTACGTTAACTGCTGGTCCCCCAACATTCTTAATTCTGTCTTTCCTCTCTTTTATGTCATCACAGTCCTCTTAAAGCTCACTTCTTAAAATTCCATTTTTAAGGGCCCTTGATTCTTTTATTTCTATTTTCATTTGTGTTGTCTCATCTCGTGTGTCTGGTTGCTTTTAACTGAGGCTGGATGTTGTATGTAACAGGCTTAGAATGATGCCATCTATTTTCACCCACCACATTCCCTGCCCTTTGCTGTCGGCCTGCCGGGCACAGCCTGCAAGCCTGGGTTCAGCTTTCTTCTCTGCAGGTGGACGACGAATTGGAAATCAAGGCCTACTATGCCGGCCACGTACTGGGTGCAGCCATGTTCCAGATTAAAGTGGGCTCAGAGTCAGTGGTCTACACGGTCAGTAGTTTGGGATTGGGAGGGGCTGCTTGGGGGTGGTGAGGTGCCTTCTTCATTACCGCCTCCTTCACCAGGGTGACTATAACATGACTCCAGACCGGCATTTGGGGTGAGTAGGCCAGCACATTTGTTTCTTGTGGGCCCCTCATAACTTGTGACAGTGTGGTGGTGCTGGCACCTGACTGGTCAGCACATCACTGTCCCCTGTGGTCCTCCCATGTAGTGTGTGTTGACCTCCTCCTTTCCAAGCCCAGATGCCCAAAGGCACAGGTCTAGGCTGGGTCCTTTGTTCCTCCTGTCTCCTCCCAAATGGTGCAGGTGCCTGTGATGTTTGACCCTCTGGGTCTGTCTGTGTACAGGAGGCAGCCAGTGTGTCCAGGAACCAGGAACATGGCTGTGTATGGGGCCAGGGCAGTCCACCATGGTCCATGCCAACCTCTGTTCCAGAGCTGCCTGGATTGATAAGTGTCGCCCCAACCTGCTGATCACAGAGTCCACATATGCCACAACTATTCGGGACTCCAAGCGCTGCCGGGAGCGTGATTTCCTCAAGAAAGTCCATGAGACCGTGGAGCGTGGGGGAAAGGTAGCCATCCTCAGGCAGGGGCTCAGGAATGGCCCACCTTGACCTTGTCATGCAGGTCCTTTTGGCAGGCTCAGCTGACAAATGTAGTCAGGGGCTTAGGGTAGGGGTTGTTTTCTAGGCATGGAGGCAAGGTTTACTCAGCATAAAAGGAAGACTCTGGAGGGCCCTTTGCTAGGGAGCTCATTCATCTCTCACATCTCAGACCCCAATAAGGGGCAGTCCCAGTGCTAGCCATAGCTTGTTTCAAGACTGGCTGAGAGCAGACTGGGGAGGTGGCTGGGGTCTATGCAGGGCCTTCAGCTCTCAGGGGTACCTACCCATGCCTCCTCAGTGGGCCAGTCCTGTTCTCTGCCGGCTGGGCCTAGGTAGTGTGGCCAGCAGCCTGCCTGAGCCAGCCTGACTTATCCCATAGGTGCTGATCCCTGTGTTTGCACTGGGCCGTGCACAGGAGCTCTGCATTCTGCTGGAGACCTTCTGGTAGGTGCAACCAGGATGGGAGCCTTGCCCTGAATGGGCAGTGGAGGGTGAGAGAGTCTATACACGAGGTGAAATGCTGTGCCATTCATACACAGCACTGGCAGGACGCAGGCTGCAGGAAGGCCACGGCGGCAGTAACAACCATTTGGACAGTGGGGCACGCCACGGTTGATGCCCATTGTGTATTAGCCTTGCTTATCTTTATAGGAAAGCTGCTCATGTGCCTGGAAGCCCTGTGATGTCCTGTAGGGACTGTCATCTATTGGCTCTTTTTGGGAGTCACTGGTCCCACAGAGCCCTCCATCAGCCTGAGCATGGTATAGGTTGGTGAAGGTTGAGGGTATAGGGGTGGGAGACAACAGGGAGCTCAGCCCCTTTGTGGGACTCTCAACTCAGGCTGCAGCCAAAGGGCTATGCAGATAAAGGCATGTGGGGAGTGACAATGGCTCAGTCTTACCTGTCAGTGTCCTATGCTGTAGCCATTGTACTGAACAGGTTGGCGGGTCCACAGGGAACGCATGAACCTAAAGGTGCCCATCTACTTCTCCACGGGCCTGACAGAGAAGGCCAACCACTACTACAAGCTCTTCATCACCTGGACCAACCAGAAGATTCGCAAGACCTTTGTGCAGAGAAACATGTTTGAATTCAAGCACATCAAGGCCTTTGATCGGGCATTTGCTGATAACCCAGGTCCAATGGTAAGGCCTTAGCCAGGTGAGGGGTGGGCAGTGCTATCCATGTATACACCTCTTTTTCTGGGGCAGGGGAAGGTGCCTCCTGGGACCAACAGCAGCTGAGGGGGCTGGGGTGGGTTCCTCTCCACCTATGGGTCTCTGGGCAAGACTGGTGGTGAGAGGATGGAGCCCATGGCAGGAGCTAGTGGGTGTTTGCTGCTCTGACTCCCTTTCCTTCACATCCATCCTGTAGGTTGTGTTTGCCACACCAGGGATGCTGCATGCTGGCCAGTCCTTGCAGATCTTCCGGAAGTGGGCAGGAAATGAGAAGAACATGGTTAGTGGCTGGGTCCAGGGCATATCCTAGCAGAGCCTATGAGCAGGGTAGGGGTGGGCAACAGGGGGACTGTTTCTTCACCCACCAATCTCTGAGCTGCCCATCAACCAGGCCCCACACCAGCTTGAGGATGCTGCTGCCACTGCCCCAGGCAGTGCAGACTCTGTGACCAGGCCCTCTATCAGGAAAGCCCCTAGCCTTCTGTGAGGCCATGGTGACAGTACCTGGCCTGGTCCTAGACAGCTTTATGCTAAAACTGTTGAACCCTTCAGGGTCTCCATCAGGTTGGAAGGGGGGACTGCTAGTGGGGTGGAAGTGGCACCCTCCAAGCATTCAGGTAGGGGTTGTTACAGGGGGCAGCCCCTGATGTGCCATGTGGTTTCAGGGTGGCTACAAGCTCCATCCTTGCCCTGCAGGTCATCATGCCTGGCTACTGTGTGCAGGGCACTGTGGGCCACAAGATCCTCAGTGGGCAGCGCAAACTGGAGATGGAGGGGCGGCAGGTGGTGAGTCCCACCCTCACCCTCTGGGTGCAGCGGGGCAGCCAGGTTACTCCTGATGCTGATGGCCATTTATGCCCTGTGACACTGTAGCTGGAGGTCAAGATGCAGGTGGAGTACATGTCATTTAGTGCCCATGCTGACGCCAAGGGCATCATGCAGCTGGTGGGCCAGGCAGAGCCGGAAAATGTGCTGCTGGTGCACGGGGAGGCCAAGAAGATGGAGTTCCTCAAGCAGAAGATAGAGCAGGAATTCCGTAGGCAGCCAGCACCACGGGTTTGGGGCTACTCTGGAGTGGGTGCTGGGCAGGGTCCATCCTTGGGGTCAGTGTGGGCACAGCCAGCCGCCTGGACTGATGTTCTCTCTGCCCCTGAGCCTAGGGGTCAGCTGCTACATGCCAGCCAACGGTGAGACGGTGACGCTACCCACGAGCCCCAGCATCCCTGTGGGCATCTCACTGGGGCTGCTGAAGCGAGAGATGGCACAGGGTATGCAGGGCAGGGCAGGGTGTGTTGGGTGGGTAAGGAGTAGCTGCTGAGGAGGCAGCCTGTCTTGACAGCACCATCCTCTTCCCCTCAGGACTGCTACCTGAGGCCAAAAAGCCCCGGCTCCTGCATGGCACCTTGATCATGAAGGACAGTGTAAGTGTGCATGGATGTCCTGGGGGTTTGGGGAGCCACTCCACATTTCCTGACCTGCCCACTACACCCCACAGAACTTCCGGCTCGTGTCCTCAGAGCAAGCCCTCAAGGAGCTGGGCCTGGCCGAGCACCAGCTGCGCTTCACCTGCCGCGTACACCTGCATGACACGCGCAAGGAACAGGAGACAGCCACACGCATCTACAGCCACCTCAAGAGGTGAGTGTCTGCCCGACCCACTTCTGGCTCTTATGGGGCAAGGCAGGGTCTCACTGTGCTTTCCTGCAGCATCCTGAAGGACCACTGTGTGCAGCACCTCCCCGACGGCTCTGTGACCGTCGAGTCCATCCTTGTCCAGGCTGCTGCTCACTCTGAGGACCCAGGCACCAAGGTGTTGTTGGTCTCTTGGACCTATCAGGTAAGGAGGGCTGTAGAAAGAGCTGGCATAACCCCCTACTCTCCACCCTCACTGCCCAGTCAGGACAGGCAGCATCACTCCTCTGTGACCCTGCATTGCTCAAGGCAGTGCAGGCAGGATGATGGGACCTCTTGCCTTGGCTATAGGATGAAGAACTGGGTAGCTACCTCACCTCGCTGCTCAAGAAGGGCCTTCCTCAGGCTCCCAGCTGAAGCCATCTGCCACCTAGGCCTGCAACCTCTGCCCTTTGCCCAGACCTGGGCTTCCACTCCAGAACTGTGGATGCTCTGTGTGAATGGAGCCCCTAGCTGGGCCATAGACCCTATCCCCAGGGACAAGGTTATGACAGTACCTAACTGAGTGGCCATTTTTGGCTGAAGAAATAAATAGGCCTTTGGGGACTCCTTGCCTTGTATTCCTGTGCCCTAAGAAGATGTTTAAGGATAGTACCGGACAGCAATTTCTAGTAAAAGCAGAACTAAAGGCAACTGGAATTCTCTCTCCCTTCTTGATGCACACATGTTGTCTCCTGCACTCACCCCCCACCAGTCTACCTAGGGTAAGGGCAGAAAGGGTTGTCCCGGGTGGTAAGTACTCTGGATAGGTAAGAGCCCATGGGAGGCAAGACCACTACAGCTTTGGCTGGCTGGATTGACCAACACAGCTGGGACCTACTGGGTGCAGTGGCATGTAGGACAGAGTCCAGCAGTTGGGCTTAGTATGTTGTGGCTGTCCTGACTTTAGCTGAATGTCTGGAGTCATCTGTAGCTCCTACAAGGTGCATGGAGCTAGAAACGGGGGCCAGCAGGAGGTAGGGCCTGTGGACATATCTTAGGCCAACCCAGAGCCTTCCACCAGGCTGCAGAGCCCTCCCTCCCCTACAGGTCTTACTCATAGGGTCAGGTTAGGATGCAGCTTGAGGGGCTGTTGCCCTGGGGGAAGGGGTTTACCTTTATCCTAAGCCATGACCAGTTGCTTTGGTCACTGGTCTCCAGCTTGAAGTCCTTTGAGTCCCTGGGCCTCCCAGTCTCCTGTGCCTTTGCTTTCCCACTGGGTGCAAGCTGGATTCCCATCTCCTAGGATAAGAGGTAGGCTGACTACCTCCACAAGGATCCAGCCTTGGGAAGAGATCAGCCACTGTGATGCACATCAGGAACCCCTTCCCAGGCCCACCTCCTCTTACCAAGGTTCCCAAGGTCTCCATATAGTACTGACTTCAGGAACAAGCCCCGGGCTGGGGCCACACGGGTCTGGTGTTTGCCCAGGGGGTCTTGGCTCTCCAGAATCACTTTCACCTGGGTGGGTGTCAAAGCCCCCAGCCCCACGGCCACCAGCACAGCTGTCATCCTCCGTACCTGCAACCCATAGCTAAGATTGCACAGAAGCCTTCCCACCCTCAGGGAAGGCCTCAGGACAAAGCTCACCTGTCTGTACAGGAAGGACTGACTCTCAAACTCCAAGCTCCAGAACCGTAGCTTCCTGTGGACACAAGTGCCTGTGATGTCTAGGACACGGGGCAGCTCTGGCCACTCTCTGGCCTACTACATGGCCTTAGATGAGGAAAACTAGCAAAGACTGTGCTGCTGGCTCCAGGGCTCAGGCCTGGTTCTCAGCTGTGCACTCTCCTAGGGGTCCTCACTAACCACCTGTCTCCAAGTATGAATTATGGGTAGGGAGAGATTAAAACTAGACAATGGTACGTGAAGGTGAGGTGGCAGAACTCCCCTTTGGTCTTGGGTGCAAAGAGTGGCCTGGCCAGGGGCTGACTGCTGTAGAACCTACCCTGGGCCACTACATGACAGGGTCTGGTCACTCAGTGAGAGGAGCAGCCAGCTTATCTGACTGAGGCCCAAGCCCTGAGCCTGGTGCTCTTTGGTGAGTCTCAACTGGCAATGCTGAAGGTCCTCCTCCCCTCGGGGCTGGCCCCAGCTATGGGGGGCAGGGTGTTTAGATGTCAGCAGCTGCCACCTGGCCAGAGCCCCTAGACAGTGCTAGGGGACAATGGGACCCATTCCCTGCCAGGCTGGGCTGGAACCACTGGCCCAGTGAAATGTTTTCAGCAGTTGCCAAAATCAATCCATTGGGCAGAGAACGCTAGGCAGGGTGAGGGGCTCTTAAAGAAAGGCAGCATTCTATGTCCCTTGCTTCCTAGCCTGGCAGGGACCCCAGCCAGGAGAAGGGCACAGCTGCAGACTCTTGGGTGTCTGACCCACACCACTCAGCTACCCCAAACCCTCCAGCTGACCAGCATCCCCCCTTAGCCAGCTCTCAGATGCATATCCAGCCACCCCCAGTCTAGCCTTAACCTTCCTTTGTTGGTGAAAATACTGGAGCTAAATTCAGCCCTCAGCGGCCTCCAGACTGGTACTGGTGACCTGTGGTGCAAGGCCACCCTTCCTCACCTGCTCTCCTGGGGGAGGACAAATGGGCTGGTTGGGCCAGAGGACACTGTGAGTCGGCGCAGTGTGCGCACTGAGCTTGTGGATGGGCTTCCAGCTGACTGGAAGGCGCTGAAATCATGTGTCCCAAGAAGGTACTGGGCAGCCTCCTGCATGGCAGTCACGTCCAGGCAGCTATAGAGGGCCAGGTGACCAGTCAAGAAGAAGGCACTGGCCAAGTGGGCCTGCTAACCACTTCCCGTTCACATACCCATACTCACTCTGCCTGTAGAGCCCAGCACAAGTTTCGTTCAAACACAGGCAGCTGGTCAGGCCGGGGGCAGCCAGTAGCCAGGCGATATAGGTAGGTCCGGGATGTGGCCGCATAGCGAGCATGGAAGTCATTGGGCACTCGGAAGGCCTGCAGTACCCTAGGGCAGTAGTCAGGCTCACTGGAGGAATGGCCCTGCTCACCTCCCCAAGTGCCGCCCCCCATCACTCCCTACTTCTGTCCAGTCTTTCCAGACCTTTAGCCTCCATCCACAGTGGACTGAGGCACAGAGCAGCAGGGTCTTGCTCAGGTCGCCAGGCTCACCTGATGGCTGGGTGCCTTAGGTGAGTGTTGAGGGCCTCAACCAGTACCTCTGGGGAGAACGGTGGCTGGCCTGAACGGCGCTGGACGTCGAGGTGCGCGGCGTTGCTCAGGGCATGGACCCCAGCATCCGTGCGGCTGGAGATGGTGAACTTGACTGGCACGACTGAATTCAGCCGCTCTGCGGCTTCCTGCAGGGACAAAACCACCTAGGGGGAGCGGGCAGCACCCGGGATGAACGGAGCCTGAAGGATGGTTTTCCGCGTCCAGGAGGCTCGGACTGGGAGGAGGCTCCCATCTGTCCATCAACCAGGGCACCCAGGGGATCATCCTTCTCCCAGCCAGGCACGGGACCAGCACAACTCACCTCTAGGTAGTTCTGTACTCCAACCGCGCGCTGAGTGCCCCTGACGGCAGCGACCCCGCTGTGGGCAGAAGTGGGAGGAGGTGACCTAGCGCGTCCGCGGAAGCCGCCCTGCCCCGGGATCTCGGCCAAAGCCCAAACCGTCCGGCTCCACCTCCGCTCTCTCAGGCCAAACAAAGCCATTTCCTTCCCCCTGAATGTTTGGGATCCAGTGTCCGGAGACGTCCGGTCTGCCAGCACAGACGCCGGACATTGGCGCGCGGATCCTAAATTTAGATCTCGGACCGCCCGCGCCCTCTCAAAAGTCAGGACCCGCCGCCGCAGAGGCGGGGCTTCCGGACCCGCGGGCAAGTCGGTTCCCTTCTCGGTCCAGCTCACATTCCGCTTCAGCCCGGGCTACATGCCCGCTATCCCTGGTGCGGTTGGCGGGATAGGGGTAGGGAGATCGGGAAACATACTTGAAGTCCGTGCCCAGGTATTGGAAATACACGAGATAGCGCGCCCGCAAGCAGCCCGCAGCGGGAGTGGAATACATGGTCTAGCTGAGCGAAGCAGAAACGATGCGGGAATCGCAGCTGGGAGGCGGGCTCGACCGCACGTGGGGTCCTGCGCGCGCATGTATCCCGGTCCGACCACTCCTGCGCCTGCGCCTTTGCATTGGCCCCGCCCTTCAGCCTGCCAAGCCTGCCTAGCCGCTGCCTGGGGCTGGGGAGCGAAGGAGGGCCTTGGTTTAGGGAGAGGATGCAAAGTTTCCTCCCGCTGCCAAGCGAGTGGACCCTACTCGCACGGCAGCCCTTGGGCAGAAGCGCTCATAGCCTCGCTGTGAGCCGCATGTTCTACACGTGCATTCATTCATTAGCTCATTTGTCTCCTTTCTCCTTGCAGTCTTCTGTCCCATCCTCCTGAGCGCTTCTCTCCGCCGCGTTCCGGCTAAGTCCTACCAGATGTGGTTCGCAAAAGCCCGGAGTTGCGCAACAGCTAGGATGGCTGAAACGGGCGGGGCGCAGCCCAGCCAACTGTCCCCTAAGTCCTACTCTTGCAGACCAGCCTAGCTTCCCAGACTAGGTCGGCCCGACTCAGGAAGGAGTGTTTGGTGACGCTCCCCGGCAGTGACAGCGGAAGGAGCGCGCGGGCGGCGTACTTTGGCGACGCTCCCCAGTGGTGACAGCGGGCGGCTCGCGCAGGCGGCGTAC